GAATGAGTGAGCCTTCTTCGGTACACGTCCCTCTGTATTCCTCTTGATCTCCTGGGTGTAAGTGATACCCAGTGATTAATTTGTTTCCATTTCCCAAATTTAATGAGGGCAATGTGGTGATATTGTGTTGGAACTCTAACAAAGCTTGCCTGAAGATCTGAGGGTGGAGCTAGCCGCTAGTTAACCATAGAGGTCTGGAGGGCTGTACAGACAGACAGGAAGTGATTTGGTGGGGTCGAGAGAGAAATATAAGGTGGGAGGAGACAGGCACTCGACCTCTTTTTGGTCTGGAGATTTTGAGATTTCATAGAGATAAGAACGTTAGTGGCTGGCTGCTCTGCTTCTCTGATCTTTCAGTTTTCACCCCCTAATATCTGACTTGGTTTTTGTTATTAAGAGCAATTAGAAATCATGTTACTGGGCAATCCACTATAGGGCTGTGGTTCCAGGAGCTTAACCAGGCATCAGCCTTAGGTCAGAGTCCAGTCTTGTTTTTATTTGTTTGTTTGTTTTTCGAGACAGGGTTTCTCTGTGTAACAACAGCTCTGGATGTCCTGGAACTTATTCTGTAGACCAGGCTGGCCTCAAACTCACAGGGATCCGCCTGCCTCTGCCTCCCTGGATTAAAGGCGTGTGCCACCACTGCTCAGCCAGAGTCCAGTCTTGACAAGTTCACGTTTGAGAGCTGCTGGATTTCAGTCCTCTTCCTTGAGAACAGCACATTCCTTTCTAGTTGAACCTGGAAGAATGGGCCTAGTTTTGGCAAGTACCCAGTGGCAGGAATGATCAGATGGGGAGACCAGAGAATGGAGCTGGTGGAATAAGCTTGTTGGGGGAGGGGGTGCAGCCCCTCCTTGGTGCAGCAGAACAAAATGCCCTTTTAATTGTGGAGCGACTCCAGGGCACACTTAAGAATACCACAGGACTCATCTCAGTATGGCCCACAGCAGAGTGGCAGCAGCTGGTGTTCTTCAAAGAGGAGTGAATTGTGTTTCTCTAATGTGGGCAGTCTGATAACCATGGTAGAACAGAAATGATTGTCTCTAAACCCTTCCTGGCATCCTAGAGATCTTGGTCACAGCTGCTTTGTGTCCAGACCACTCCTGCAAGCTGAAGGTCTTTGCTTTTGAGATTGCCCAGTTCACCTCTTCCATCTCAAGACAAGTTAGAAAGGCAGCTTCCCTTTGTCAGCAATTGAGACTGTTGGCTCGTGGGGTGGAAGAAATGCATTTGTGATGGACATAGAAAACTCATGGCTTGTGACTAGCAGCTGCTTTAAGCAGTGAATGAATAACCATTCAACTCCACCATGCAGCTTTGTGGGCCTCTGTGGGTGAATAACAGTGCCTTTTAGACTCTAGGCTTGCTTCCTGTTGATAGGGAAGGTAGCTTCTCTTCAAGCATGGTCCTGGGGCCTATGGCTTCCTCACACTCTGGAACGTGTTTGGAATGCATGAGCCGTTCAGGTGCCCACAGACCGAAACTGGTCTTCTAAGTATGCCCAGTAGTACCTCATTAAAATTTGAAAAGAGCTGTTCCACAGTCTAGAAGCTTTGTGTGTGTGTGAGAGCACCAGCTATCATCCTATATCATCTACATCTAATACTTATTAAAATCTGTTCTTTGGTAATTTTGTTCGCGAATACTGTGTATTCTATATTTTTCCTTTATAAAGATTTATTTCTATTTTTAGTTGTGTCTGACAGTGTGAGTATAGGCCTGTGAGTGAAGGTACCTGCAGAGGCCAGAGGTGTCAGATCCCCTTGGAACTGGAGTTATAGACAGTTGTGAGACCCCTGATGTGGACGCTAGGAACCAAACTCAGGTTCTCTGGCAGAACAGCAAATGTTCTTATCTGCTGAGCCACATCTCCAGCCCTACATCAACAAACACTGAACCCAGAACTCACCAATTCAGCTAGACTGGCCAGCCAACCATGGATCATTCTGTCACTGCATCCCCAGTATTAGGAATTTCAGGGGCATATTCCTATGCCTTGTTTTTTATGAGTGCTGGAAACCTGAGCTCAGGTCCTCGTGTTGGTTTATCAAACAATTTACCACTAGAGCCATGTCCCCAACCTCTGACTAGAAGTTTCATGGTTTCACAGCAAGGTGCCCCAGTCTCCAGCCTGCATAGACTGAGACTCCTGTTCTACGCCAGGGCCTCTCACACAGGCTCAGTTCAGCCTCAGCAGAAGCCCAAGGCAGGGCAACTCTGAGCCATAATTTGGGTTCATATTTCACAAGTGTGAGAAATCTGAAGCTTGCCCCAGAAAAGCTAAACTTGGGCCACTGTGATCCTACCTCACCGGGGACAGAGCTGGATCCCAGCTTCTTCCACTTTTTCACGTATCAGTGTCCAAGGCAGGATCTGTAAAGAAACTGCTGTTTGAACTTTGCTGGAGGTGTGCAGTTTGTCAGGCAGTTAGCAGAAGACGTATTCTACAGGAGGGCCAGGGAGGTGGCATTTAGGCAGGAGAAACGTGGGCAAATCCATAGGGTGGCCTGAGATTTAGTTAACTTTGTATGATCTCTTGGGTCCCATATTAATACCAGCTTGCCTTGAACTTTTTCTGATAAGTCCAGGATGTGAGCAGAACAATCAGGTTACCTAAATGGCCAGCGAGCTTAGATGACGTCTAATGGCAGTGTGTTAACCTAGAGGCACTGAATATGGAGTGAGGTGGGATGCTAAGCTGGAGAGAGAGAGAGACTCCTGAGAGCTGAATTTGCCCCTAAAAATTCAGCTGCCACTAGAGACAACAGGGTAGTCTCACCTAGGCCACCGAGGGCTCCTCCAGGGCCACACACACTTGGGGTTTTTGTTTGGGAGGATGAATTGATACGAAGGGATTGGTAGTTAGTTGGCGCTTATCTTTTGTTTGCGGGGCAGTCTAAGGCTCCGGAGTCCTTCATTACTGTGGTGATATTTTGTACAAGTAAAGCCTGTCTGAAGATCAGAGGGCAGAGCTTGCCATTGGCTGACAGACAGGCAGGAAGTAAGATGGCTGGTGCCAGGCATCACAGCTCCACGGAGGTTGAGAGAGAGCCTTGTGACAAGATGATTGTAGGTGTCTGTACTGGGGCTTATGAATGAGACCATCCTCTACCATCAACTGTAGCCAGCATCACCCAGCCTACAGAGTCATAAGAAAGTAGAAGCATGTATTGCTCCAAGTCGCTTCCAATTTACCTTCTGTTACATCCTCAAAGGCTAGCTGACAGATGTATGCAACCTATTGCCCGCTGGCCACATGAGGATGAAGACAACCATGAATACAGCTCAAAAGAAATCATAAACATTCTTAAAATAGTAAGAGGGTTTGTGTGTGTACATGATTGTTTTTGTAGGGGTGGTCATCTCAAGAATGATCTGTGTGGGTGATGTCATATTTTCACGCTAAGAGGTGGGACTTGTCTGAATGTTTATTCTAGCCCATAGGATATGCTTTAAATATTTTTGAGGTAGTGAATGAAGATGAGTCCCAGAAGACATAGGTTAAATACTTTTAAGTGTGTTGCATAGATTATTTTACTTAATCTCTGCCCCATGTATGCAGTAAGTTCTTTATCATGTCCATTTTAAAATAGGGCATTTGAGGCTTAGGGAATATAATGTAAGTTACTTGCCCAAGAGCAGACCACTAGAAAGTCAAGTAGGGATGAGATCTCTCCCATTCACCTGTCTTCAAGCAACCTTAGACGTATTGCACACATTAATAGAGATTCCAGCCCATTCATCATCCCACCCAGAATGTGCTTTTAGCTGTGAAAGCTAGAAATAGCATACTCACCCTCTCTGTTGCTTAAGTTGTTCCTAGTCACCAGTCCTTAGGGAACACAGTGAAGATTGGCAGCTGATCACTTTGCCCTGGATGCACTTTGCTTATGATGGTGACAGATGTGGGCCTGGTGGGTCTACCATAGAGGTCACTGACAGAGGTCATTAGGAGTAAAAGACACCCAGCCAGTATCTGGCTGCTTGCAAAGCCAGTAGCTGGGAGGGGAGCCAGGGTGCTGCTCCAGCTTGGGCTTAGAACTAATTGATGCCAGATGCAATCCCTGGGACCCAGGTGGTGCCCATTATGTGAAGAACTAAAGCCAGCTTCAGTGGAGGGGTCTGTGCCAGGCAGGAATGGCCAATCACTCTGCTGGGACAGTCTGTGTTAAGACCTCTGTTTGTCAATCCCATTTTCCATCCAGGCTTGGAAGAACAGAAGCAGCACAGATTGGAGAGCTAGGTGGGGTCTGTGCACTAACTACATGCAGGGCCACTGGGCTTTGGTAATGGTAGCCTCTGGCTTTTGCTGGCTGCTTCCAGAGAAAGACTTTCCTGGTAATTGGTGGTTCGCCCAGAAGAGCCTTGCATGATGTCTCAGTTCTCAGATTTCCTTACTGTGGCCTCAGTGTGCTCTGTCCCTTGATCTATCTCACCTTTCCTCAATGACACTTGTACCTCAGGAACTCACACACCCAGGTCCTCTATCCTGGAGCTACATCCCCCAGGCCCTGTTTATGTGCTTTCTTTACCATCTTCTTCCCACTAACCTAAAGTTCCATGAAAGTAAAAGCTTTGCTTGCCTTATTCTCCATGCTGTCTTCAACGTAAGGGTGCGCAGCTAGCAGATGTGAAGGTAAAACATTTCTTGGATTGATCTGGAGAGATGGCTTAGAGGTTAATAGCACTCACTGCTCTTGTAGAGGACCTGGGTTTGGGCCCCTCAATGTTGGGTACCTCACGACCTCCTGTCACGCCAGCTTCAGGAGATTCCAAGCCTTCCTCTGACCTCCTTGTACACTTGCACTCTGGAGCACCCCCTCTCAACACACACTTTAAAAATGTTCTAGAGACGGGTGTTGGTGGCTCATGCCTTTAATCCCAGCACTTGGGAGGCAGAGGCAGGTGGATCTCTGTGAGTTTGAGGCCAGCCTGGTCTACAAGAGCTAGTTCCAGGACAGCCTCCAAAGCTACAGAGAAACCAAATAAATAAATAAATAAATAAATAAATAAATAAATGAATAAAATGTTCTAGAAATTGCTAGAGGCCTGCATTTGTAATCACAGTACTTGGGAGGTTGAAGCAGTTGAGTGTTTTGGGAGACAGAGTCTCTGGCATTGCCTTGGTTGGTTGAAAAATTAAGATTCCCCTATGCTTCTGACTGCTTTTTGGGATATCAGGCATGGTCAGTTCTCCAAGGCACTGTTGTTGTTATTATTTCACTAGTGTGTATGTGAGAGAGACAGAGACAGAGAGGTGTGGGTGCAGGAAACTGAACTCTGGTCCTCTGGAAGAAAACAGAGCATTCCTAACCACTGAGCTATCTTCCCAATCCCTGTTTGCACTATTTCAATGAAGCAGCATAGTAAGGCTTACAAAAGCTCAAGTTCAAACAGCAAGTATAACATAATTCTCTCTCACCATGCTCAACTGACTTGGAAACCTGTGAGGACTGCTCTTCAAGGGTTAAGAAAGTGGTTAAGAGGGAGATCTCACCTAGTGCACAAACCTCTTTAAAGAAAAGCAATAAGGTCCCAAATACCATTTCCTCTCCAGACACCTTTTCATTTAATAATCTAAGAAAGTGTGGTTTGTTTGCTTTTTTTTCAAGGAAGAGAGTCTTCAGGCTTAGAATTAGACTCTCATGGTGAGATTTGGCAGTGAGAGGCAGAAAAGTCTGAGAAGGTAAGTCACGTAAACGAGAGGGACCAGCAGTCCAGGATTAGAAAGGCAACTAATTCCCCCTTTGTCAGAAACTGGGACTCCTACTCCTTGATCTGTCACGCCCAGTGCAGATTACAGTCTAAGATAGCTGCTGTACTTCCAGCCATCACAGTTACCTTCTTGGCTATCTTCACTTTAAGGACCACTTCCTCGAAGTTAAATGCAGTGACAACTCAGCTTATTCTCCTACTTGAAGGCTTAATGAAAGAAAGGGGAAGGGGAGAAGCAATGATTTCGTTCCATCCCTGTGTTTGAAGCCACTCATGACACCCACAGCTCACCGCGCCATGACACAGCCTCTGGGCTGGCAGCTTTGATTAGAAGATCAAGGAAGGCTTACATTTGAGGACAGGCTATAAAAGTGAGACTTAGATGTGAGCTGGGTCTTGGGCTGGTGAGGACAGAGAGTTACTCTGTGTAAGCCTCACTGGAGAGGGGGGAGTTTATTTTCCCCCCTAAGGGATATGTATAAGCTGCTGCACCTTGGATTGCATTGAAGCCTAGTAAAGAGGAAAGGTTTGCGGAGAATGCCTGGGAAGAGTTGTTAGGGTGTTGCCAAGGTGGGGCAGGGGACTGTCACTGTGGACTGACCAGATGGGGATCAGGTCCTGGATGAGTCAATCTCTTGTTGTTCCACTAACCAGGGCTGGCAAAAAGCTTAGGGAGTAGGTTCTGTGACACCCCAGTAATCAGGAAAGACCCGAAGCCCAGTTGTGTGAGCCTACTGTGCATTCAAGTGCATGGAAGAAACAGCTGCCTTCAGGGGAAAGGGCCCCCAGCTCTGAACAGCTGTGGATATAACGCAGGTTATACCTGCTCGACAGTGAAGATCTGGGAGGGTGGTAGAATGGAACCAGACTGCTCAAAAGAGGGTTGGAGCAAGGGATCACACACCCTGGGTCCATGCAAATGTGTGTCTCCCTCCAACAAACCATCTGCATCTGGAAGGCAAGGCAAGCAGCCCCCCCACCCCCGCCCCAGAAAAGCTGTCCCCCTCCATAGGGAACACACAGCCACATGGAGATACCCTACCCCCAAGATGCTGGGGGAGGAAGGGGCAATGGTCCCCAAGGTAGACCACGCCCCTTCATGTCTTCTCAGAGGAGGAAGGAGATCACTCAGGTGTGGTTAGGTGAGTCCTCACCAGACATGTTTCCACCACCGCCCTTGCCTAGGTCTCTGCCCTCATCAGAGAAAGGCAGAGATTAGCAGTGCAAAAAAAGTTGTCAGTGACCACAATGAGACACAAGAGACAGCTACCAGTTCAGGGAGGGGATATGGAGCAAGGTTTGCACCAGAAAAGTGTCCCTGTGCCTGCCTGAGGAAGACCTCCATAGGATGAGACTGCTGCTTTTTCCTTGTTGCCCTGGGCAGGTGACCCTGCAGGCTTGGTGGGGTCTCCCTGAAGGGGAGTCATTTGATTTCCATATTTCCAAATCCATTCCTGGAATTTGGATTTTGAAGTGTGGTGACAGAGACTTTTCCTAAAAAATGGTGAAAGTCTAAGAACCACTGAAGGCTCACACTGATTTCTCAGTTTCCTTACCTCCCCACACAATGTTGATGTGTCTAGTGCCATTTTTACTGGCTTTATAGTAAGCATTGGTCGGAGATGTGAAATAACTTGCTTGAAGTCAGAATGTGCCACATGGTAGATCCAGGTCCTTCATCTGTCCTGGAATGATTTAGACATGCAGGGCAATGAGTTCCGGGTGACAAGTAGGTGTGGACCATACTTGAGAGGAGAGGAAGGCAGATGATTCCTTCATCTACTTGATGGACTGAACCATTCAGAGTGGCTGGCAAGCTCAGCAGGAAGAAGCTCACACGTGATACAGTGTAGGATAGAGGCCCACATACACCTACCTGAATGATAGCTGGTAGTTTTGATTCCCTGTGGCTGGACATTAGGATCCTTACCAAGAGCTGGAGACAAGGAAATGAAGCTGGAGACCAGGTTTGCCTAGAAATTAAATGCTGAACACACAGAAAACTTTTTTTTTCTGAGACAGGTTTCTCTGTATTGTTTTGGAGGCTGTCCCAGACCTCGCTCTGTAGACCAAGCTGGCCTCAAACTCACAGAGATCCACCTGCCTCTGCCTCCCTAGTGCTGGGATTAAACGCTGCCCCACCAAAGCCCAGCCACAGCAAACTTTTCAGTGTCAATCTATTTGAAAGTGGCAGCTAGTGAAAACTTGTTAGGTGGTTGGGGATGTGGCTCAGTAGGTAGAGTGCTTACCCAGTGTGTGGGAAGCCCTGGGTTTGATTATAAACACTACACAAACTGGGCATGGTGGCTTATGCTTATAATCCCAGCACTTGAGAAATGCACTTGTTTCCATACTGAAGGGCTACTCTTTTTTTTTTTTGAGTTAATTTTGTATCCAGCAACATTGCTGTCATTGTTTATCAGCCATAAGACCCACAATTTATTTTATGATATACTTATATTTACTACCATGTCTTCTGCAATACAGACATTTTGAGTTGTTTCATTCCAGGTTGTATCACCATGATCTCCTTCAGTCGACCTATTGCTCTTGGCAAGACTTCAAGTACTATATTGAAATGGAAAGAAGGGAGTCGCCATTCCACCCCAGTTCCCGATTTGAGTGAAACTGCTTTGAGTTTTTGTCCATTTAATTTGATGTTGGCTGTGGGCTTGCTGGAAACTGCCTCTATTATGATTAGGTGTGTTCTTGTATCCCTAATCTCTCCAGGACTTTGTCAAGAAGCGATATTGGATTTTTGTCAAAGTCTTTTCCTGCCTCTAATGAGATGATCATGTGGTATTTTTTCAGTTTGTTTCTGTGGTGGGTTATATTTATTGATTTACATAATTTGAATTGTCCCTGCATCTGTTTGATGAAGCCTACTTGATCATGGTTAATGATCTTTTGTTGTGTTCTTGAATTCAGTTAGCAAGTACTTAGTTGAGTATTTTTCCATGTATGTCTACAAGTAAAATTGGTCTCTTAGTTCTCTTTTCAAATGTTTTTTATCGATTCTTTGTGGGTTTCACATCATTCATCCAGATCTCATCTCCCTGTCCCCTTGCTTCTGCCTACTGCCCTAGCAACCTCCCCCACAAAACAAAATTTTAAAGTAAAACAAGCAAAACTAAAAAAAACCAAACCGAACAAAGAAAAAAATCTTGGTGTGGGAAATTATAGTGTCACACAGTATACCTTTTAGTCCATACATCTTTTCTAGTAAGTGTTCATTGCAAGGAGTCATTGGTCTTGTTTGAGGCCTCTGGCCTACAATGGGTGTTCTGCATATGTATTGCAGTTTTCAGTTTATTATTTATATGGGGACGGGGCGGTGGTGCTGCATGCCTTTAATCCCAGCACTTGGGAGGCAGAGGCAGGCGGGCACCCTAAGTGTGTGAACAAGTGCTTAATTTTAGTTATATGACATTCGTGAAGAGGCAGAATGGGGTTTGGGAAGTGCTTAGGCACTTCTGTGCTTATTGAACAAGAATGAAGACCTGAGATTCCCAAAACCCACATAAAATAGCCAGGTGTTATGGTATGCAAGATGAGGACAAGTGGATCTCTGGCCACTAGTCTAACTGAATGGGCAACTTCCAGGCCAGTGAGGAACCCTGAGTCAGAAAACAATGTGGATATAGCATCCTAAGGGGTAATATTTGAGGTTGACCGCTGGCCTCAGCACACAGGTGCACCTTCAAGTACACACACACAACTACACATGTGTGCACCTCCATAAACACGTAAACACATAAGAACAAGCAAAGGTAAGTGGTGATGACCCTCTGTGTAATGCTGTATGTTGCCTCCAAAAGAATCCCTTTGATTTGGAAAGGCAGAGGGAATCAGAGGGGCTAAGACACTTGCTTCAAGTTACATAGCCATAGACAGCAGAGACAGGACTCAAATGCAGGTTTCCCATTTTGCAGGCTAGACAGCCCTCACGCCCAGTTCTAGGAGAAAGCAGTAGAAAAAAATGAGATAGCAAATGCAGATTCTCCTTTCTGTGATTTTTAACTAGCATATATGAAACATACTGTCAGTCTAATTTAATTATGATTGGGTAGCCAGAAGACTGATTATGCTGTAAATTTAAATTAAGGAGATATTGTTTTCAATTAGGCTTGATAGGAAACTGCTCTGACAGTTTTTCTCTGGTGTGGGGGTGAGCCCCACAAAGCTATCCACCCAAAAGGGGCGGAGATAGGGAAATTTAGCACAGGTACACCAGCTGACGAGGGAAGTCAATGCAATATGGAATCTAATATATTTATTTACATACAAGATGAGAGGACAGAAAGCGTGGCAGGCTTCCAGAGGAAAAAAGGAAAGGAGCTTTGTTTTCTCTTTGACTTCCTTTTATCTTTACCTGTGCTAAATTTCCCTATCTCCGCCCCTTTTGGGCGGATAGCTTTGTGGGGCTCACCCCTACACTCTGGCCTCTGAGAAAGTTCCACATTTTGGTTCATAGATCTGGGATGTTGGTAACATTCTTGGGCACCCTCAGTCTGGTGAAGATTTGGACCTGGTATGTATCCCATTGGTGGAAAAGGCTTTATCAGTATTGAGGACCCAGCTGGAAATGGCTCAGACTCCAAGGGACTTAAATCTCATGCAGTAAGTCAGTTCCAGGGTTGGCTGGTCCACTTTTGAAACATCTGTGACTCAAACACATTCCATCTTTTTGTACAGCAAACTTATCAAGTGCTGGATTCCAATCTCAGGCTTGACCCTGTTGTGTTGGTTGGCCCTGGCCCAAGCTTTTTCCTCAGAGGGGAACATTCCTGTCTCATATCTCTTCATACATATTGCTGGCTTCCATAGACCTCTCTAGAGTCTTTGGCGAGAATTCCAGCACCAACTTGTTCTTGAGTCAACCCTTAGGGACATTCATTCTGGAGTTCATTTTGGAGACCATAGTTTCCTGAGGTCTGTGTCAGATAGTAGAGACTGACTAGAAGTGGAAAGATAGAAAATTGAAGAAGAGAAGGGAAAAAAGCCCTTCACCCTGGACCCTGCTTGAAGCCTTTCACCAGCTGAGACAGGCCAAGGGAATGGAATGTAACTTACACTCTAGCTCCTCTTACCCCTGATTCAGGGGAGTTTCCTTCCACCAATCTAGCCTCAGGTACCTCTAAGCTCCTTGTATTTGAGACATGACCTAGGCTAATTTGGAACTCCTTATGTGACCCAAGATGGGCTCCAGCTCCTGGAAATCTTTCTGCTCCAGATTCATGGATGCTGGGATTACAAGTGTTACTGTGCTTGGCAATATGAATTTAATTTTGTTCTATACAATTATCACTATGGTCAGCTAAAGTTTGCCCCAGATCTAATGATGTACCCATGTCTAATATGGGTTATTGTTATAGTTTCTTTCTTTTTTATTTATTTTTTTCAGATAGTTTTTGATGTGGGAAGTCCTGTGATTATGTCAATAAAGCACTGTTGGGCCAATAGCAATCTAGATAGGTGGGACTAGGAGTCCAGGAGAACTCTGGGAAGGAGAAACACAGAGAGTCAAGATGTAACGCCATGCATGGGGTAGGAAGCCCAGAAAGTTCTCCAGTAAGAGAAACACTTAGATTAACAATTATGGGGTAATTACTTAAGTCAGAGCTAGCCAGTAAGAAACAAGCAAGGCCAACAGCTTCATAATTAATACGGCGTCTTGTGTGTTATTTGGGGACTACAATGCGGCAGAGCCCAGGCAACTGGCGGGGGATAAACCAAAGCGGCTAGCAAGGAAAGGCTTCTCTTTACAAGTTTTTTTTTCTCTTTATAGCCCTGGCTATTCTAGAACTGCTTTGTAGGCCAGGTTGGGCTTGAAATCAGAGATCCAAATACCTCTGCCTTCTAAGTGCCAGGATTAAAGGCATGTATCACCACAACCAGCTTCTTTTCGTTTTAAAAAATAAAATTACTAGTGTTGGGTGTGGTAGTGCATGCCCTCTGATCCTGGCACTTGGTAGGCAGGGACACGTGATGTCTGAGTTCTAGGCCAGCCTGGTCTACGTAGTGAGAAAAAAAAATCACCGGTATAAATTTATCCATTTTTCCATTTTCTATTTTTTGTAAAGCAGTGAGGAGTAGGTCTGGAAAGGCCTGCTCGGTGGGTAAAATCACAAAGCTCTTGGAGAGGACTGGGGTTTTAATCCCACCACACACATCGGGTAGGTCACATTGGCCTAACTCCAGCTTCAGAGGACCTGACACCCTCTTCTGAACTCTGCAGGCACCTGCCAAAGCTGACCCGCATGTGGACAGGGACAGTGCTGCGCCCGAGTTGGAAATGTCTGGGGTTGGCATACAAAAGCCAATTTCAGGTAGTGTACGTGGAATGCACTGACTGTCTGAAACAATAGAAACTGGGATTCATTTGCGAGGGCCTCCTCTCCCCACCTGACAAGAGAGAAACGACTTCCAGATCATCAGTATGTCTATGAAAGGAACCCTGCCTCTACCTAGTGTTAATCCCTGGGGAATGTTGGAGCCACGCTCACGAACATTTTGGTGCAAACACCTGGGAGGCCGGTGAGACTTGCCTGGATTGACTGGCCATGAAGAGTCAGGTGTCTTGTGCTCAGTAGTGCCCACCATGGGCACTGTGGCACCTGCTGTGCTAGTTGATGGCAGAAGACCAGACTTACATTTCAACTCCATCAGACCAGACCTAGTAGGTCACAGCTGCATTTGGTCTGGGTACCCTTTTCCACTGAAATGATACTAGGAATAGACACACTGTATCACTCTGACATTTCATTGTTGTGCCCAGGTTGCAAAGTCCCCAGAGACCACCAGGAAGACAGACCCACTAAACTGCAAAAGCAAGGTTTAATGATTGTTCATCCACCCATGTAACAAGCTGATGCAGCAGCCTCCAGAGGGAGTGAAGTTCCCTGTCTACTGCTAGGTTTTAAAGACAAAAGTTACAGGATAACAAAGACAAAAGTTACAGGATAACATCAGTAGGTACGGGTTGGTTTCTGATTGGTTGACATTTGGGAACAATCAGGAGAAATTTCTCAAAGTCATATTTTGGCATGAAATACCTGTGTACCAATTTCTCAGTGCTAAGAGGGAACATTCTGTGGTTTCTATGGCATTGTCTTGTTACTTGCAGGTGGTGGCCTGTTGTACATAGATACCAATAGTTTTCAGAACTACATCCTGGAGACTACAGGGGAGGTTTTGGTCTCCCCTGGAGTTTCTTTTGTGGCCAAACAGTTTCCAGGAATCCAGCATCTAGGAAGCAAGGGGTTGGGGGGTGGTCTGGAGTTTCTGTGTGTTCAGTTTTGGCCCTAGGCTCCAGGAGGCCAGATGATCTGGAGTTTCCTTGTGTCAGAGGCCTATATGCCTTTTCTGTAGCCTGTCATGGCTACTAAAGCAGGGGGCTGAGTGAGGGTCTGGTCCCTTTATTTCTAAATTATTAGAAGTGAAGCCCTAGAGTTTAGTTTACCCCTCTCATTCATCACCAGAATTTTAGTGCCCCCCAACACTTCTCATTTCTAATCTCCAAACTTTCCAATAATCACCATGGAGGCTCATTTGTACGGCTAAATATTTGGAAGATCAGAGGGTGGAGCTTGCCACTAGCTAATCATAGAGGTCTGGATGTCTGTATAGAGAGACAGGAAGTGGGATGGCTGGGTGAAGAAAGGAACACAGGTGGGAGGAAACAGGACTCAGTCTTTTTTTTCTGCTGGGAAGCTAGTGAGGTTAAGGTATCTTTGATTTGCCACTATATCTGACTTCGGATGTTTATTATTAGACATATTAGGATTTCTTTGGCCCAACCTATTTTTAGCTTTCTCCATAATGATGTTTCACTAATGAAAGCATATTATATATTAAGTATCTTAACAATATACACGAAGAGTTCCTTATTTACTAGTGTGCTGGGGAAAACTCCTTGAGCAGGGAGGGGCCTTACTAGAAAAGCTTCCTACGACCGTACCAATCCCATCAGTTCTAAAAGTGTCTCTCTAGTTTCCATTATGACTTTCGGATCCATGAGTTGACCCGAGAATAATACAATTGGGAATTACCAGTTACTGTTCAGTCAGTGGTTTCTAACTGCACAGTGGTCAGCATGTATTTGCAATGATGTCAGTCCTCAAACATGCAGAGACGCTTGCATCGGGACACAGCATATTTATCTTTTGTAAATGTTTCACATATTCTTGGGAGGAATGTGTATTGTGCAATTCTTGAAGCAATACTCTGTACTTCTCAGTTTTTGGTACTAAGGACTGAGAAAGGCAGACGCCTGCACTCTGGGGCCTGCTGCTACCTTGAACTTCTGTCCCCAAGCAAAGGCCGAGGCTGCGAGGTCAAGGCCTGGAAGGCAAAAAGTATTCATGGGTGGTCGTGGTGGGGGAAAGACGCCACTTTGGAAAGGTTGGCCAGCACAGGCACGACGGGATACTCTCATCCTGACGCTCAGTAGGACAGCCAGGAGTTGGAGAGCAACTAGGGCTACAGTGAGACTTCCTTTTTTTTTTTTTTTTTAATGGCCCCGGCCCCGCCACTTTCGCGCATTCCCGGGCACACACACCCACGTTCAGATGGTCTGACAGGTTAGAGAACGCGCGCGTGCGTAGAGCGGTCCTTTATCACGCAATGCCGGCCGGGGGCGGGGCCGGCGAATGCGGGTCTGGAATACCTGGCCTGAGCCGAGCCTGGGAGGTGGCGCGCGCGCGCGCACGCACACACGCACACACACACGCGCGCGCGCGCGCGCGAGGTGACTCATAGCTCCCGCCCCCTTTCCGTCCAGCCTTTTCTGGGCCGGCCGCTCGCACCACGTGCCTTCCCGGCCGCTCCCCCAGAAGGCGCCTGTTGCCGCTGCTGTAAAATGTCGTGAGGGGCCGTCGCCGCTTTGCGGCTGCCTCTGAGAACCAGAGCCCGGGAGTGCCCACCGCAGTCAGCGTTTCCTCCAGCGGAGTCGTCCTGAGGGAGGGCGACAGCGCTCGGGCGCGCCACTGGCCTCTCCGCCGCGCCCGCGAGGGCTCCGGGCGATGTGAACGCGAGGCGGCTGCTGCGCTCCCAGGCCCCGGGGGGGTTGGGGGTGGGGTGCTGAGGCGGGCGGCAGGTGCCTGGGAGGCCGCTTGGGTGGCCGGCAGGATGGAGGAGAGCATGGAGGACGAGGAGATGCTCACCTACGAGGCGATGATGGACGACCAGAACCACAACAACTGGGAGGCCGCCGCAGACAACTTCCGGCAGCCGCCGCCGCCCTCCTCGTCCATCCAGGATCCTGGCCGAGAACCCCCGGGGGGCCAGCTGCTGACTGTGCCCGCCGGCTCCGTGGACAGGAAGGGCCCTAAGGAGGGGCTCCCGATGGGGCCTCCGCCCTTGCTGGAGCCCAACGGGGTGATCATGATGTTGAAGAGCTGCGACGGGGCCGCCGTGACCAAGGCGGCCCCCGCCCCCACCCCCAGCTCCACCATCAACATCAACACCTCCACTTCCAAGTTCCGTGAGTCTGGCCTCCCCCCCACCCTCCCCCCCGCCAGCCTTGGCTGCTTCTCCTCAGCTCGCCGAATACCCCCCCCCCCCCGTCCTCCGCCCCCAGAGCAGCTTCACTTCCTTTGTTTCCAGGCCTAGGTCTCTCTCTTCCTTCTTACCCTCCCACCCTCGTTAGGTGTCTGCAGCCCGTGTCTGGCTTGGACCAGCCCTGGCTGCTCGTTGTTTACCTGAGCACGCAGCCCCAGATAACGCTTCTCAGACGAGATCTTTTTATGACGCCCGACCATCTCTCAACATTAGTAAGCTCTTTTCTCATGCGCCCCCTTTAAAGTTTCACCTCGTAGGCGAGGAGGGAAACAAGGCAGCCCTGGATTTCGTTAGTAAGAGGTTTTTTTTTTTTTTTTTTTTTTTTTTTTGCAACCAGAGAGCAAAGAAATTTGACAACTGTCCTTTAAGCAAATCAGGAATCTGAACATTGGCCTGTAGCAACACTTTGTTCCCTGCTCTGCAGGTTTGCATCCTGTCTCGGAATTCTGAGTTGTGTCTTCATGCAATGGGAACTGCCACAGCTATTTGGAAGCTGATCTGTAAAATCACTTTTTCAGAGAAGCAATTCACGTGGCCGTACCCAGGGCCCTGCTGCATGTTGAACTTTTTAGCGATCTGCCTTAACATTCAGGTGCAGACAGAAGACAAAAAGTAATTCAGAAATGTTCACAGTTGGGTGGGTGTGCTTCTGCAGCTAGGAAATTAATTGAGGTAGTGGTTTTTAGCCCTGGGTTGTGGTGTGGTAAAAGGAACATGACCACTATCAGTAGCCAGCTGTTAACTTCTTTAAAATGACATTTTGGTAATGCAACTGGAGATTTCATTTCTAGCTATCAATTTATTAAATTATAACTGTGATTGCCCACCTTATTGGGAAGAGAAAATTGTCCTGTTGCTGCAGATGTGTAGTCACAACCTTAGAAACACATTTTATGGGAATAGCACCTTACATCCCTTCAAGTTGTGTGTTATTTGTTCCCTGTTATGCATAGACAAGACTGTCGTTTATTTAATGTAGTTTATATGTTGAAGGTTATGTTGTGAAAATAGTCCTTACAGTGGCAGTGTGATTTACTTTAAATGCTGAAGGAAGTTTGGATTCATGGTTAAGTAACTTTTCTTTGGCATGTTAAGAAATGAGCAAAAAGAGACGTTATCAGCCAAGCTGAGAGCTAAAGGATCTGCCAAACCAAAAGATTATCCCTTGAAAAGATTACTAAAGTTTGGGGTGTTAGGAATGCAGCAGCTGGGTTGATGAGTGAGTACTTGCCTAACATGCTGGAAGCCCTGAGTTTGATCTCAGTACCTTACAAAACCTGATATGGTGGTTCACAACCACAATCCCACCACTCTGGAGGCAGAGACATGGGGATCAAGAATTTGGTTTTATATCCTGTACAAGACCAGCTTGTGAAACATGAGACCCTGTTACGAAACAAAACAAAAAGGTTAGTAAGCTATGAAGACCTGTTAAAGATTTTCCAGGGGCAAGGTTGCAAATAAATGAAAAGTAAAAGTAGAATATTAGGTTTTTAAAAGTTACTATATGGTAATAAATTTGAAAAGGTAGATGAAATACCTGATTGTTAGAGAACTGTTAACATCAGTAGAGAGCTTGGACTAAGCATGAACTTGTAGTAGTGATGGGGACCTTCCATTTCAAATCTCTTGGTCCAGATACTCTTGTACACAAACTTCATTAGACTTCAGTAACCTTTCCTTTTATAAATTGTAAACATGGGGCACAAAAGCAAGACAAAGCCAAAACTCCAAGACCACTTTATGGGGTTAGTAAATCTTGATTATAAAACTAGATAAGATTATGTATAGGTGTGTTACACCTATTATTTGTGGAAATGAAAATCCTGTATACTGTATTAGCTCATCAGATCTAACCATGTCAAAAGAATCATGATTCATAGTTTCTTAGTTTTTTTCTCAATATCGATATATTAGTGTAATTTATCTCAGTAGATTGGAAAAACATAATTTGTTTTTTTTATGGTTAAAAACTCTTAGTAAGGCAAAGAACATAGGATAATGTATCAAATAGTAATAATGGAGAAAATTTCAATATAGTCATGTAGTCACTATAAGATGGTTAACTAGCCATGGATGCCCAGTGAAACTGTCCATGTTCCTGAGTCAAATCATTTATTTATTTATTTTTGGTTTTTCTGAGACAGGGTTTCTCTGTGGCTTTGGAGACTGACCTGAAATTAGCTCTTATAGACACGGCTGGTCTCGAACTCACAGAGATCCTCCTGCCTCTCCCTTCCGAGTACTGGGATTAAAGGAGTGCGCCACCACTACCCAGCTGAGTCAAATTATTATAAGAATGCCCCCTTTCTCCATCTTAATCTAGAAATTCAGTTTAGATGTCACCATTATGTTTTCTTGTTTGTCTGACAAGCTCAGTTACCTAAACTAAATTTATGTGTTAAGTGTCTGTTGCTCTGGTACTTACTTGTAGACAGCACTGGCTGCCCTCTGGAGGCTCCTTGTTGTCAGTGGTAAAGTTTATCCCTACAGAGGTAGGCAGTAGTAGGTTTTGCTTTGTCTTTTATTTACATGGCTCTTTTGGGTGATTTCTGGTCTTACTTACAGTTGTATGAGACTGTTCAGATCCACTGCTCATTTCTTGGTTGGTTTTGTTATGTATAAAGACATCTTTGTGAAACTTCAGTGCATCTTTTGTCAGATAACATGCATTCTTAAGCCTCCCCCCCCATCTTTTTCTGAGTGTTTTCTGAAGAGTAGTTTTTAAAATTTTGATGTTAACTGATTTTTATCAGTTTTTTATGGCCTATGGTTTTTTTTTGTTTTTTTTTAACATTATTTTCTCGGTATCCTGAGAAAATTTGTGTATTCCAGAGTCCAGAAGAGTTTCTCCTAGAAATTTTATGGGCTTAGCTTAATTTAGGCATTGATAATGTGTATATAGTGTGAGATTCGACATTGTTTTTTCCTCCCACATGTTTGCTCAGTTGTTTCAGCAATAAGATGAAATTTATTATTTTAAGTAATCAAAAACTAGTGAGGTTTGAATAAAAATGACTCCTAAAGGCTCATATATTTGAATGCTTAGTCATTAGGAAGTGACACTTTGAGGGTTAGGATTAGGAGGTGTGGCCTTCTTGGAAGCCTGTCAGTGGCAAAAGCCTATGCCAGGCCCAGTCTCTGACTCTGCCAGTGCATCAGAATGTAGCTCTCAACTAATTCTCCAGTGCCATGCCTGCAGCCATGCTCTCCACCATGGTGATAATGGACTAAGCCCCTGAAACCATTAGCAAGCCCCCAAATAAATGCTTTCTTTTATAAGAATTGCTGTGTTTGTGCGTGGTGTCTCTTCATAGCAATAGAACAACTGAGACAGCTGGGAAAGAAACCTTTTGTATTATCTATGGACTTCTGTTCTCTCCTTTAGGTCTGAGCCTCTGTAAAAACTTGTGCTATTTTTTTTTTTCTTTTCCTTGTTTTTCTTTTGAGACAGTTTCTCTGTGTAGCCGTGGACATCCGAACACTCTGTAGATCAGGCTGGCCTTGAACTCGAGATTCTCCTGCCTCTGCCTCCTGAGTGCTGCGAATAACTGTTGACTGTTAATTTTTTTTTAAATTTTGATTTAGTCAGTTTTTACTTGTCTGTAGAATATTTCTTCTAAGAATATTTTTTGCTGGATATAGACTTCTATATGTATAATCCCCTTTTCCCCCACTATCATTTTAAAAGATCTTTCCATTGTTTCTTGACCTTCATTGTTTCTTTAAAATCAGTTTTTATTAATTCCTTGAGAATTTCATACATGCATATAGTGCATGTTAATCATATTCACCTCCTACGCTTTCCTCTTGACTACCTCCAGATTCACTCCCATATCATCCTCTACCAACTTTATGTGTGCTGTTTTTCATGACCCACCCAGTACAGGTTGTGCTGTTATAAAATAAGCGTAGTGTCATCACTCATTGGAGAGCATTTGTCAGGCTACCTTAAAGAAAATGACATTGACTTTGTCAATAGCTTCCACTAAGGGTGGGGTTGGCGAGCCCCTCCTTCCAGTGTGTTTCTTATCTTGAATATCTGAATAGTCTTTGTTCCTCTTTTTGTGATATTTCCCTCTTTTCACTTTTAATCCCTTTTAAATCATCCATCCATCCATTCAAACAGAGGGGCTTTTGGCCCATCCTGTCTTTATACTCACTTTGTATCTGAGGGTGAACTTGAACTTTTCATGCTCCTGCCTCCACTCTGTCAGTTGATTATCCAACCCAAGGTTTTTTTGAAGCACTTTACACCACCACATCTGTAGCTCTGCTTTATCATTTTAAGCATCAGCAGTTTGACTGTGATGTTTCTTGGGCTAGTTTTTCTTTTCTTTTCTTTTCTTTTTTTGTGGGGGGGTTTCGAGACAGGGTTTCTCTGTATTGTCTTTGGAGCCTGTCCTGGAACTCGCTCGGTAGACCAGGCTTGGTCTCAAACTCACAGAGATCCACCTGCCTCTGCCTCCCGAGTGCTGGGATTAAAGGCTTGTGCCACCACCGCCTGGCTGAGGGCTACTTTTTCTAAAAGTGTTTGTCCTTGGTTTTTCTGAGCTTCCTGGATTTACAGTTTGTCAGATTATCTCCCCCACCACCAGTTCCTTTTGGCAGATTGCTTCTGTCTCCTGAGTACTGAAGCACTGTTCACTTCCCTTTTTTTTTTCTTTCATTTTGTTTGTTTGCTCTTTGTACAAAGATAGTTCTCTAAAAACTGTGTGTGTGTTCCAGAGGAGGGTGACTTTATGAAGTTATTTCTCTCCTATCTTTCTGTGAGTTCTGGAGACTGAATTTAGGGTGTCAGGCTTGCAAGTTTGTTTATTTGCTTAGCTATCTGGTCAGCCCACAGTGGTAGTTTTTTATTGTTGTGTATGCATGCTCACTGATGTTTTCTTTTTAGTGTCTAATCTGCTTATACAGATTTAC